GGAAAACATCCTCGGAATGTCCTCGGAATATTGTCCGTCGGAATGTCCTCGGAATATTCCCAGGAAATTCCGACGAAAACTATGATTCCGAGGAGATTTTTCCGAGGGAAATTTTTTTCGGAATATCGTCGGAATCGCCTGATTCCGACGACATTCCGAGGAAATCGTCCCTAGGAATCGATGTGTTTTCTTGTAGTGAAAGACATAGAGAAACAAGACAAGAATGGTAAACATTCAACAAGAAAACTCAAATGTGAACACATGCAAGAAAAAATAATGACTAACGTCCGAAACTTGGCTAGAGAGTTAAGTCATGCATGATAAAGACACATTGTGGAAGTTAAAAACTTAGACTCTAGACATGTAACGGTTTTCAGAGAAGTCTATCCTTCTCCATAAGTGGATGAGAATTCATCTAAAGACTAATATACTCACTTGTCAATATTACGGTTTCCGGAGAGCTTCAGAAGTCACTAGTATCGCTTACAAAAACTTTACACCTTAATAAAATTGATCAAGAAGACGCACGTATGCAAGCTTAAGATAATACACCTGATCAGTTTTGCTGTGAGTATTATATATGTTATACTGCACTGCAAAGGGAAATAAATAATGACCAAATACTTTCTTAACTGCAATTTTTTTTCTCCAAACTCCACAAAAATATATGTCACTATAAACAATGACGAGAAAACTCTCGATTCAACGTAAATTTATTGTTGGCCCATAGCTCCCGATAGTAAGGGGTCATGGTGTTTTTGGCAAGGAGAGGTTTTGTCCACTGCATGTCTTAATCTTGTGGAACTATCTTACTGAATTATTGTGGAATTTTGATTCTAAATAATATTCTACCAGAGTGGATTAATCTTTTTGTCCTTACCGGGAGGACTGGTTAAATTAGTCGTAGCTCAATATTACATATTTATGTCGGTACGTCTTTTGTCTTTACGAGTATATACAGCTATTATATATCCAAATATTTGGATGACAGAAAATCACTTAACTGCAATCGTACTGCAAAAAAAAAAAAAAGATTACTTAGTCATGCAAAAACACCACTAGTTCACTACTACAATTTATCTGGGTATATATGTATAATACAATGATAAAATATTATTACGAATTTGAGAGTAAGAAAATCACCAAACTTTGGGTTAGACTTCATAAAACAGCAGCTGACAACCAGATAGTTTAAAAAAAAAGAAAAAAACGCAATGTAATATTTACATTTTGATTTTGTAAGATTTCATCAAATAAATACGTAATAGTAGGTCGGTCAAGAAAAAAATACGTAAATAGTAGGTCGGTCATGGCTCTGACAAAAATTACTACAACGAGTAATATACAGAACTTGAATTACAACAACCAATCATAGCTTCCTACGGGTTCCACTTAAAGCGACGTGGCAATACCACCGCCTTGTATGAACTAGACGGAGACGCTTCAACCAATCACCTTCCGATTCTGCTATTGCGTTAAGTGGTCCCCATTTTTCGCTAATTCACGGTCCAACGAATTGCCATGTCTTGAACTAAGAAATAGATTCTAGAAGCTAAAAAGCTTACTCGTAGAAAAGAAAGTTGGCACCTACTAAACTTTAGAAAAAGAAGATATCAATGAACTTCTCTATCATCTTGAACCGGATGGTCCCACTCTTTCAAATTAATACGAAGCTCAGCCGTTAGATATAGCATCGGTCAAACCGTATAACAGTCAAATGAATAATCTCTTCTTTCATTGGTTCCTACATCTCCGGATAATTAACAACACTTAGAGCATCATCAATGGAGTGGTTAAGGGAGTGCTTAATGCTTTTTGGCACTAGATCCCACAAGTACCCCTTCCAAAAGTGTTTAATTAAGCATCTCAAATGATTAGTTGCTTATACTGTTTGCGGGTCCTACTGACACGTGACAACCGCGATTGGTTCAGATTTTTTTTTTATTAAACAAAAAAAGAAATAAACATAAAAAATAAGCATCCTATTTGGAATACTAGGGTTGAGGATGCTCTTAAATTCAGCCATAATGACCCCTAAAGCCTATAAAAGTGAAGCTTGGCTTCTCACTTATCAACTCATCACAAATAAAAAGCTTATTTCTCTCTCTATCTTTTAACAAGTCAGACAAGATGGCACCTGTGATCAACACCAAGCTCAGTAACGGAGGGAAGAAGAGAGCGTACGTGACATTCCTAGCCGGGAACGGAGACTACGTGAAAGGAGTGGTTGGTCTTGCCAAAGGGCTAAGGAAATCTAAGAGCAAGTACCCATTAGTGGTTGCTGTGTTACCGGACGTGCCGGTGGATCACCGCAGACAACTACTAGAGCAAGGATGTCTCGTGAAGGAGATCCAGCCAGTTTGTCCGCCGGAGAACCAAACTCAGTTCGCCATGGCTTACTACGTCCTCAACTACTCCAAGCTACGCATTTGGAAGGTATATATATATATATATATAAACAAACCCATGATAGTTTCTAGGGTTTATAGACTACATTTGTTTCCTATATGTTCTGAATATTCGTATTAAATATTAAGTTATATACTACTTTGCATTTGTATCCTCTTTCTGTTCATAATAGAAAATATTTTAAAATTATTTTTTTGTTTTAAAATACAAGTTATTTTATATTTTACTGTAATTTTTTTAATTGATTGAATATTGTCTGAATTAAAATATAGTCTTTTGTAACTTGTTGAACTTATATATAAGATGATACTCCCTCCGTTTCATAAAGAATGTTATTTTAACATTTTTCACACAAATTAAGAAATTTTTTGGAATGCATTATATTCTTATTAATTATACATATTCAACCAATGAGATTTTTAGAAACTAAAATTATTTATAGAATCAATACATTTGTAATTAATATTTAGTTCAAAATTGCCTTACTTTAAAATGATACTTTTTGTGTAACAAAAAAAAATGTTAAAGTGACACTTATTAAGAAACATAAAGATTATCTTTTAAAAAGTAACAACATTGATAATATTGGTGTTTGTAGAAAAAATTACTACATCTTGAAAATGACTTGAGTATAATATAAATATTTGGATACAGTTGGTGGAGTATAGCAAGATGATATACTTAGACGGAGACATACAAGTGTTTGAGAACATTGATCACTTGTTCGATCTTCCTGACGGCAACTTCTACGCCGTTAAAGACTGTTTCTGTGAGAAGACATGGAGCCATACGCCTCAGTACAAGATTGGCTACTGCCAACAGTGCCCCGACAAGGTGACGTGGCCTGAGTCCGAGCTTGGTCCTAAGCCACCGTTGTACTTCAACGCCGGCATGTTCGTCTACGAGCCAAGCCTCCCAACTTATTACAGCCTTTTGGAGACTCTCAACGTTGTCCCTCCCACACCTTTTGCTGAACAGGTAGAACAAAATCTACACAATTTATAATAAATAAATTTACGTACTCAAAGAATGGTTATGGCCTATTAATATATTATGAAATAACTGTTTTGGATAAATATTTGTGTGTTTTATAGGACTTCTTGAACATGTATTTCAAAGATATATACAAGCCGATTCCACCAGTATATAATCTTGTCTTGGCCATGCTCTGGAGGCATCCAGAGAACATAGAGCTTGACAAAGCCAAGGTTGTTCATTACTGCGCTGCTGGTTCTAAGCCTTGGAGGTATAAGATCTAACTATCTTTTTGTTCATTTCTAAAATGTAAAAAAAGGAGAAAAGATCGAGTTGCTTCTCTGTTTTTATTAGGTTTACTGGCCAAGAAGAGAATATGGAAAGACAAGACATCAAGATGCTTGTAGAGAAGTGGTGGGACATCTACAACGATGAGACTCTTGATTACAAGAACATTAATGTGCGTTGGAAACAAGAAGAAGAAGATGTCCAAAAGAAGCAGCAAACCACCATGCCAAAGTTCTTTACAGATTCGTCTGAACCTGGTGTGCTTCCCTACGCCAAAGCTCCGTCCGCCGCCTAGACCACTATGTGAGGGCTAAGCTAGTTTATTGGTAATATAGTTGCTTAAAGTCAGAAACAAATTATGTGTTGTTCGGAATTTTTATATAATATTGTGTGTTGCTGTATCTTATTCTGAATCTAGAGGAGTTTTAGTCACCAACTCCTCTATTTGTTGTACATGTTTACTAAGACTTCCATTGTAATGAGATTAATCCGATGATTGAGAAAAACAGAGAGACCACGGTCTTAATGGCCATGCAATAGATCGTTGTTCTTATGGTTTCTTCATATCCCAAATTGTTGCAACATAATAATATAAGCAAATATTTCAGAAATATTCTTATTGGGTTCAGAAGCGGGCATATAGTATCATATATATGTTCATATATTGATAAAATGATGTAGTATAATGTATATAGCTTGTGCCAGGTCTCTTTTATTTTACTTTGCACTCTTGTTGTAAGATTTTTTTCTATTTTAGTTTCTTTGGTTGGTCAGCTATGTTGATCTTTCTTTTTTGATCAAGTTGATTTTTTTTTTTGTATGGATCTTATCTGTAAATCAACTGGGTCAAGTTTTTTTGGTTAACCAAAGTTCTCCTGTGAGATTCATGTGGCCAGACACCGCCAAAGAAAGATACTCATCCACATTACGATGAAACAAAACATAATTTTATTTGATTTTTGTGATGACTTCTAAGAATAAAATAATTAATGAGAACACTTGAAGATTAAAAATAATTAAAATGCATAGACATCATCATAAGTATTATGATCACTTTGGATAACACATAACTCTTCATCATTGGCCTCAAAATGGTAGACACATTAAACACTTTGAAAATGGTTAACCACTTGATATAATAGAAGAAAAGCATCAATGTTTTAAGACGATAATCTCGACTCTATATCTTCATTAATATCTCTTTTGACTGTTGGTTGTTGTTTTACCTTCTTTTGTTTCACTACTTCGTCTTCCGTCTCATTCATCTCTCTATCTTTCCCCCACAAAACACCATATAGCCCAATAACCACAAGTGCTGATCCCAAAAACCTAATACAAATATATCATCTAAATCATCATGATCGTCCGGTTTTATTTAGTGTTTATATAGAGAGAGAGCATAGAAATTAACATACGTGCCGGTGTAGAGTTTCTCTTCAAAAAGAGTCCAGCTAACAACGGCGACGATTACAAGCACTAAAGGGCTGAAAACAGAGACGTAGAGAGGACCTTTTATATTTATCGCCCATGACATTAAGCAGAACCCTAACGCAGACGCCACCACTCCCTGCGTTCGCGTTTTATATTAAATATTCGCATAAAAATTGTTGTTTAATCATAGTATATGTACGTAGACATACGGCGTAAAGGGCAGAGATGAGGCGGAGAGGAGAGCTGAGAGACCAATCAGCGAGTTTGTGATCGGAGATCAAAGCAATAACTCCACACTGGATACTTCCCATCAAACACATTAGAAGTGTGCTCGTGTATGGTGCTGCAAATATTTCACTCATTTTCGTCTGTAACCAAAATATATTTTTAATCAACAAAAATGATCTGTATACATTATACAAAAATGTCTAGTGATTTTTACCAACCAAAATGCAATAATATTTTTAATCAACAACAATGATCTGTATATATTATACACAAAATGTCTAGTGATTTTTACCAACCAAAATGCAATAACCAAATTAAAAAATTAGTTTGATTTTAGGTATCTGCTATTTCAGTTGTGTTAAAATTAGGTGTTCCAGATAGGAACTGATAACAAGCTACATATATGATTATCATTTAAGTTACCTGAATAATGAACCAAGCGGCACAAGAAACGGCAGAAGCTATGATTAGGAAAGGTCCTAAGAAGAAGTTAGAACCGTTAGAATCTGGACCATGGCTCGTGATGTTTTGAGCATAGGTCCAATGGATCTTGGACTCTCCAATGCCAATGATGTGACCATGGTAGAAGGAGAGAACCATTGCTCCGGCCACACATACTACTGTCCCTATCACTTTGGCTTGTCCTGATATCTTTCTAATCCCTACAGCTTCTTGTCTGAAAATGTTGTTTAGTGTTAAACTATTATAATAGGAATTTAGGTTAAGTTTGAAAACTTTATGTTAAGAAAATATATATATAGAACCTGAAGATGGCGGCAAGGAGGAAAGTGACGGCCGGTAAGAGATTAGTTAAGGCGCAAGCAATGGTCGGAGATGAATTCTGAAGTCCTATGAAGTAGAGCACTTGATTTCCAGTTACACTGCAAACAAAATCAAGTTAAACTTCTTTCTAAGAACTCTTTAAAAAGAATATTTTATCAAATGAGACTGAAATCAATATATATATATATATACATATATATATATATATATATATATATATATATATATATATGTAAATACCCAGTGATGGAGCAGAAGAAGGCTTGGACAAGAACCCTTAGTGTGATACTCGGTATTGTCTTACTGCACAAGAAACCATATATGCATGTACGAAATTTACATTCTATTAGTACTCAATTAATTGTTTAACATGAAAATGAATACTGAGTTTATAATCCCAGAAAGCAAAACCAGGATTACATATTGGCACAATCTAGTAAAATATTAGCTTTGCCCTCCAAATTTTAGAAGTTATATACATAAACATACGTTTCAAATAAATTTAACTATTAAAGTTCTGAGAACACACCAGGATCAACCAATACTCAGTAAGAAGATTTTATAGTAAAACAAATTTCAATCAAATAAAATGTGTTCACTTGGTAGATCATCTTGCAAAAAAGGCCAGGATAACTAATCAGAACTATGTAATATCCTGGGCCTTATAATCTGCTTGTAATTGCCATTGTTTTCAATAAGATCGAAAAGTTGACAAAAAAAGATAGAATTTGCCTTTTTATTGAGTGGGGGTGTGAACCAGTTAAACGGCGTCGTATGAGTACGTGCCCTGGCAATATCAGCTGACACCTAACTCTCCTGGAATCATGCGTTTGTTTGTCTCTTTGTTCTTTCCGTTTTAAGAAAGAAACGTGACGCATGGATTGTGTGAGACTGCGTCACATTTTTCATTTGTTTCTTCTTGAAAATAGGAATCATTGATGGTGTAATTACGCATAACTCGACAAAAGATTATGATTGACGATACTAGATATGAATCAGATAATTACTAGATATGAATCAGATAGACTCTAATCACATACTAGTTTCAATAACCAAAACATAACTAAAGAAGGCTATAGTATCAACATCAACATTATTATTATTCCTCCAGTTCGAAAAGTTGCTAGTCGGAAAATGGATTGTGCATTATTCTTCTTCACAATTTCCGTAATAGTTTTTTTTTTTTTTTTTTTGATAACTCAGTTGTCCGGAGCTTATTTAGAGACCCGACTATCCCCGAAGGGGTCCTGAAGGCCAAACGGAAACCATGTTAAATCCGCTGTAGCCGGAGTTCGAACTCGTGATGGCGGACACCTCAGCCGAGGTTCCTTTACTACCAGACCACGAGGCCCGGTTAATTTCCGTAATAGTTAGTCATTAAGAAATCTACAGCCTAAAAACAAATCTCTACAGCTTACCATAATATGCGTAGTTATCCTAATCTCCGGATAATTAAAGGATGCCGTGCCGATCTCTTCTTCTTAGTTATATTATCTTACTCATTTTAATCTTAAACCTTCGAATGGAAAATAATTACTAGTTGCGAAACGTTTGAATGTTGAAAGTAAATTACTGAAAATCCATTCAAAGTAACCGTAATATTAATTAAGTTATTAACATCAAAACTATATATTTATGTTGCAAGTAGTTTATCATCATTAGTAGATACAAGTTAGTTATACACACACTCTCCTATGTTACGTTTTATATTATTGCGTTCTGTACTTTCTCAGTAAGACGTAATTACGAACTTGAAAAATCTCTTTCAGATGTTAACTTCAACCGAAAGCTTACACAATTACAAAGAGGATATTTGTAAATAATATATAGACTCAAGAAGCACATATGAAAACCTTAATTAATATAGAGCTCAAAAAGAATAACATGAAAGCTAATCATCTAAGCAGCATGCATGCATGTCCAAAATAATTAGTTGATCAAATTTTATGTGTAGAAATTAATTAGTAGGATTTTGTACCGTTCAAGGACAAGTGCGACCGGAAGAGTGGCGATAGAGGCAAAAATTTGGCGATAAGCGACAAGGATGAGAGGCTTCATGCCGGCCTCCATAGCCATCTTCGACGTAATGTTCATGCCTGCGTAGCCAATTTGCACCAACACCATCGCCACGGACGGCAACAAATCTCTCGATTTAACCATCTTTCTCTTCTAATTTTTATATGTTTATATTCCTCTCTGTATATGTTTCTCTCACTATCACTATAATCAATAATAATAATTCGAGAAACCAATTAAGTTTAGAAAAATAGAGAGGGAGATGGGTTCTTTATAACATTTATTAGTTTCCCCAAATCTATCTTCCTTTCCTCTCGACCTTATATTTATAGCCGAAAATACATATATTAATATATATTGAGAGAGAGAGAGATAGAAGATTTTAAACAGAAAGGTGAGAACGGTTCGAGAATGAAGTTTACTTGTAACACTTGTGCTCTCTTTAGGGCATAAGAACAAGAAACAATAGGTGTCAAGTGATATGTATGTATCTCATTTGGTATTTATGGAAGTTATATTTCCCATTGGCGTTTTTCAAAAAAAAAGTTTCTTATTATAATTTTGTCTTTCTGAACTTTTTTTGTTTCCGTTTATTTATGGGACGTTAGGTGGAGCTTGTGAATGAATGGATGTAACACGCATGCATGAATGTTTTTTTGAAGCTTCAGCAATCATTTTGCTTTGGCTAAAACTCGTTTCTGGAGCATTGAATCAAGGGTTTAGATAGTTGATTTGTTAACTATCTCAAAAAAAAAAAAAAAAATCTCAATTTAAGTATGTTGAATTGATTTTTCATATTATCACACTCAAATTTTACAGAAAAAAATAGGTATATCCCGAAAATTGGAAAATAGGCACGGGTTGTTAAAACATTGGCATACGTCGGGTGTGTGCATATACGTATCTCTCTCAAATTCTATATAAATGATAATATTACAAATGAAGAGTATAATTTTATTTTGGTGTCAGATTGACTTAAATCCAGTAGATTAATCAATGTTAATCAGTGTCATATTTTGAGCGCATTCCTTAGACTTCTAATGTATAAATTAGGTGATCATCTACATTCTACACATGGACATACTTAATGTTGAAATAGCTCTATAATAATTAATATTTCACCTTAATATCACTCAACATTTTTCTTTTGTTCAACGATCACTCAACATTAGTATATAGTCTTTGTCATTAAAATATAGTTGGAGTGGATAATCTGAAACCATGCATAAATTTCAGAAAATGATTGAATTTTAAGTCAAAATTAGATTTTGACCCGTGTGCCTGCACGGGTGTAGTTCTTTTGTCAACCTGCTCGTATAGTTCATTTAAAAAATTATCTTTAAAAAAAATATTTTGCGGGTTGATGGGTATCCGCAGTTTAAATTCGACTGATCCACACTTATTCCGCATAAAATATACTAAACCCGCACTCTCCTCACATATTTTTAAAATATGTTTATTTTTACCCGTCCTATAGTGAGTCAAACAGGACGAAGTCCATGTGTAAAGAGTCAAATTCACAACCTTAATATAAATAATCATATAAATTATATTTTAAAATTTTAATGTGAAATATAAAAACTACAATATAAACTGGTGTTTGAAATTGGGCTTTGTATTATATTTTTTATATATACTGAAAACCTTTTTTTATAATCGCTATTGGAAAATATTTTAGTAAAAATCAATTTATATATATATATATTAGAATCAAAATTTTCTATAAATTAGTTTTAAATTATTCTTTTGATTTGAAATATATATATAAAGTTTAAATTTTGTTTTATGATTATTTTAAACAAAAAATATTTTAGGTAATTAGATTAATTCATTTGCATATATTGTAAAGCTGACCAAAATAGATAGTTTATTATAAGAATTTCAATTTTTCTTAATAACTAAGCCCATTTTGTTTTTAAAAGCCTATTTTGTTTTTAATATACTGCAATTCATGTTGCCAAACAACAATATATTCATTTTATTAAATATTATCCTTGTTCCCAAACAACTCTCAAATGTACTTCAATTTTAATAATATAGATGGGTTATTATCATTTCTAATCTTTTAAGAAACTAAGTATAATTCATGATTAAAAATTTAAAACATTTAGGAAACTTATCATAAAGTTGAAGCGATCAGCCGCTGTGGTGAGAAGAGAGAGGAACATGGCCGTAAGGCCCGTAACCGTTTTGATCGAATCTGTTAGGACAAAAAATACACCTATAACCTTTCACAGTTCATATGTTGACAAATACTTGTATTACACGGTACCATGCTTGTCTCGGTAGCGATGTTAAGATCTCTTGTCCCAGACTGTTTTGTGTAAACATCACTCTTTTCATTCCTAAGTCCGGTGCTCACATATTCTGGAGAACATACCCAAAATTTCCCATCACTCGAGTGGTCACATGGCTTTTCCCATCTCCAAGCAACTTGGCAACGCCAAAATCAGGAACCTTTGCGTTGAATCTTTCACGATCAATATGTTGCTAGACTTGATGTCTCTATGCCCTACCTTTGGTTATATTGCCACGTGTAGATAGGCAACACTGCACAAAGAGATAAAACCATTACTCTCAGGAGTCTCAGCAGAACAAATGCTACAATATGTAAAGATGTAATAACAATAATGAATGTTATGCTTACGCCTTGGATGTTCAGATGAGAACTTTCCTTCTTGCTTCCCAAAAAATGTGAAAGCCTTCATTTGCAACAACATCCCATTTTAGTCGTATTATTTATATTTCCAAACGCAGATCCCTCACACAATTGCCAACGAATAAAACCGGTTTATAAACAAAAATAGATGTTCAAGTTGGTTATTCAATTTTGTGTATCTACTAAAAATTAACTAAAACTGGACTATAGTATATAGCCTTGGGCTTATCATGGCTAGTTTAGATGGAATATTTAAGACCACACAAAATTCCTGAAAATCCATTGTATTAGTAGCAAACATGTTACATAACAGTCGCATATACAAAACCCAACAAGGCCACATTAACTTTTGTATGTACTTCACTAATTTTTTTTATTTTTATGTACTTCACTAATTAACCTTCCCTTTTTGTATATTCTACGAAGTTTAATAATAGTGATAAGGTGCCAAAATAATTGTGGTGATAAATATATCTTCGTAATGGAAACCTATGGAACCACATATACGTTGGAAGGTGGAGACGAGATTATGTTATTGTAGTGCTGTACACGTGGAATTCAAAGAGATGAGTTTGCGTATAAGACCAAAATACACATGCTACTTACTATATATATAAGTGACAGTTGTTTATTGTTTCTAATTTAGCAGCCACACCAATCATACTAGTCGACAGATAAAGTGAATGGAGCTGAACGGTGGGGGAAAAGTAGTTTGTGTCACCGGAGCTTCCGGTTACATAGCGTCTTGGATTGTGAAGCTTTTGCTCCTCCGTGGCTACACCGTCAAGGCTACTGTTCGTGACCCAAGTTTGTTCCCTCCACCTCTCTTTTGTCTTTATCATGTTTTTTTTTCTTCTTTGGTATGTTTATAGGTCAAAGGGGAGTACAAGATGAACTAAATAGTCTAAATTAAATCCATGAGAAATAAATTTGTAGGCATGACTAAGAACTCATGAAAAAAAACTGGATTATGCAAAAGACAAACCAAAACTAAATCGAATCGAGATTCCAAAAGGGTAGAGTTTGCGTTCATTTTTTTTTGTTTTTGTTTTTTGCACCGTTGTGATAGTCTTTGCTGGAAAAGCCAAAACACACGTTCCGATTCTATCCTGTCCCTCACGTCTCATCATTTGGAACCTAGTAAAAAAAATCAAAATAGCTACGAATGTACCGTAGCTATTTTGGTTTTTTTACTAGACAGTTTAAGTGGTGGGTTTGTTCTAATTTAATTGACTTCTCTATGTTGGTTTTGTATAATAGACCCTTTTCTTTTGTTGTCAACTAATATATTTTTAGCATATTGATAATATATCTGCCTAAACATAAACCACATGTTTTTTTTCTGTATTGAAACATCATCATCACTGAACATATTATTGACAAACGGTTAGCTACATATCAATGTCATGGTCGAATAAAACACATGTATGTGTGTTTCTCCAGAAGATCAAAAGAAAACAGATCATCTTCTTGCACTTGATGGCGCAAGAGAAAGACTTCAACTATTCAAAGCAAATCTTTTAGAAGAAGGTTCTTTCGAGCAAGCTATTGATGGATGTGTGGCTGTGTTCCACACCGCGTCACCCGTTAAAATCACTGCCACTGATCCTCAGGTTCGTCAACGATATATATTACTTTGTTACAAGTTTACTTGCTTGAATTGCTGTTAGAAACTTAATAGTTACTATGGATTATACAGGCTGAGCTGATTGAACCAGCAGTCAAGGGAACTATTAACGTCCTAAAAACATGCACTAAAATGTCTTCTGTCAAAAGGGTCATTTTAACGTCGTCAATGGCCACACTTCTTTCTCCTAAGTTCCCTTTAGGACCAAACGTGTTACTAGATGAAACAACCTTCTCTGATCCAAGTGTTTGCGAGAAGGAAAAGGTTTTTAACATTTTACTTTAACACATCAACGAGTTATGAGAACTCACATTATTTCTTAATTACCTTTTTTTATTTTCTCCTATCCAGCAATGGTATATACTCTCCAAGACTTTGGCAGAATCTGCGGCATGGCAGTTTGCCAAGGACAACAACTTGGACTTGATCGTAATGAATCCAGGACTCGTTATTGGACCTATCCTACAACCAACTATTAATTTCTCAGTAGATGTGGTTGTAGATTTTATAAAAGGTAAGAACACTTTAAATAGGAGGTATCATAGACTTGTGGACGTGAGGGATGTTGCTCTAGCTCATGTCATGGCACTCGAGACTCCTTCGGCCAATGGCAGATACATCCTTGATGCTCCGATTGTGACAACGGAGGACATTGAAAAAACTCTACGTGAATTCTTTCCTGATTTGTGTATTACTCATGAGTAGGTTTTATCTTCTTCATCAATTTATCTATCAAGTAATAATCATGTTTATATTCTACAAGCCTAACAAACTTTTTTCCAAACTCTTTTTTTTGTGAACTTTTTGTAGGAATGAAGACATTGATTTGAAATCAATGACTTACAAAGTGAATGTAGAAAAGGTGAAGAGTTTGGGAATTGAGTTCACTCCTACAGAAACAAGCCTTAGAGACACTGTTCTTAGTCTCAAGAAGAAATCTCTCGTGTGATCCCCGTTTGTTATTTTTATTACTTACTGTTAACTAAATTCACTATGTGGATATATGCTTCTGTGTTTGTTTTTATTTACAATCATATAAACTTCTTCTTTTTATCAGACTAAATGTTTAATAAAATCTAAAAATATTCAACTGAAGCATGGGTTCATAAACAAAAAGAATATCTTGAACCAATTGTTAGTTCCAAGAACTCCTACACATAGTCACAAAAAATAAAGGAGATCACTTGCATAAAAATCCTAGCTTGAAGCTTAAGACGAACTGCTTCAAAATTATCAATAAAATTGTCTTGTCTTTCAGACAAGACATCAATGTTCCTGCTTAACTCTATCCAACTGAACCAAAGTGTTCTGTTTCTTGACCTGAACCGAATTAGTGGAAGCATGACTCACGTTTGGTTTCTGATCTCGATCAAGCTTAGCCTTCTCATCAAGCTTAAGAACATCCACGAGCGCCTCACGTGCCCTCATTTTCGCCACGGCCGCCTCTCTCCCTCTCCTCTCAGCTTCGCATTTAGCAAAGTTCACCGCTTTGCTCATCGAAGCCGCGGAGATCTTCGCGGCGCATAGAAACACTTCCGAGAGAGATTTATCGACGCAGCGAACACCGTTTGCGTCGATGATTGGGCGGAAGAAGGAGAAGGAGTCAGGGTCACGGCAAGGAGGACATCGGTAGGGAGGGGATACTGCCTCCCCTCCGGCGCAGTGGATGTGTGTGTGGGAGCCGCAGTCGGAGCAGGAGACGCGGCGAGAGTGGTGCGGAGGGGAGGAGTCGTAGAAGGAGAAGCAGGTGGGGCAAAACGACGCCGGGTGTTTGCGGAGGAGGCAGTGTGTGCAGAAGAAGGTGAAGATGGAGCGGTAACGTGCGGGGTGTATGATCCACGAGTCTTGGCTGCGGCAATTCTCGCATATCTCTGGGGGATTCGACGTCGTATTGGCTGAATTGGAAGTTGATGACGGGAGATTCATTGTGTGTTGTCTGTCTGCGGTTTGGGAAAATTTTAGGGTTTTATTCAATTGGAGAAGAAGAAGTTTAATTGATTTTAATAAAGGCGTCGTTAATGGGCTTTATTTATTGGGCTGGATAATTGTTTACTTGTTGGGTTTGTAATTTTTGATTTACGAGAGATGCAAGAAACAAAAGAAAACGATGATATCTATGATTATTGACTAAACCGGAAATAAAACACACCATTTTACTACATTTGAAATCTTTTTTTTTTTCCTTTTACATTGTTTTCCTCTCTGTTACATGAGAGTTGACTTTACATTATCTGGTGTCTGATTATAACAATTGTCAAAATTCACAACAAATCTCTATAGCTTATGTATAAAGTTAACTGCAACGCTTTAATTTGGTCTATTCTAGTTTTACATTATTGTGAGTTCCACTTATATGGTACTACTATATTACTTTGCACACGCCACCCATTTCCTCACAACCATGTAATCACATTTAGCTACGCACTTTCATAGTAGCAACAACAGTAAGATTGAAGAACTTCACTATCAGTTTTACACGTTAGGTGGTACAAAATATTAATGTCGGTTTGGTTATGTTTCTGATTCAACCTCATATATTAAATTCACAAAACAAAGTTAACTGGATATGATTTAAATAGTTGGGATTGATTAGTTTTTGGACAGTCCAAGGAAGTAGGGACATTAAAACTTTTGGGTGTCAAAATGTTGAAGTTCATTGCATTTTGCAAAAGATATTTAAAAACATTATATATACATTTGTCAAACATTGTTTCTGGTCAGCATTTTGCATCAAAGGAAATGCATTAGCATGTGTTATATGTCATAAATCACACGTGTCATATCTTCCTTCCTTCAGGAGTGACCATGTGTCTCGAGTCATATATCACCCATATCCACCATCGTTCGTGGTTATGATCATCACCTAAAGCTCGTCCAACCAATTTGCTTATATGTTGACGTAAAGTGACGTTTTGATGTAATATAATACGTAGCTGACTGCTTGCTGGCCATATAAATTGCACAAGGGCCAGCTTCAAAGGTTATATATTTTCTAAGTTGATATGATAGTGAGGTAAAGGATTTTTGCGTATCTTTATTTTGTTTATGGTTAGAGATATTAAAACTTGTTGGCATATTCCATGGTCACGGTGGATTGAGAATTTTGCGGGGACAGGCTGTTTTCATTATTTTGAGCATTGGCCTAACATATATCTCCTTGGATGGGTTTCATTTGGATCTACATGGTTTTTGTTTATTTTATTCGAATAATTTCGTTGAGTTCGTTTTATTTACGTTAGATGGTGATAAACTACAGTGGTGACACTAATGGTCCCTCCATGCAAATCCAGATAACTTTATAAATCATATTGGTTCCCAAATTCTTTTAGCATCGTGAGCATGGCCAGATTACACAAAATCATTAACAAAATTGTATGATTGTGTGTGTTTTTTTTTAATTCATCGCTTGTACAGCCAAGAAATGTAAGCTAGGTTATTCATTGCAGATATTCAATCACCATATTTGTGGATAGGTATAATTTAATTTCTAAGTTTTAGATAGTTAACTTTTTTTGTCATGGGATGATATATTGTTATTGATTCAGTTATACTAGTGGAAAGGAAGGATATAGATTCTAAGATAAAATATCTACAAGAATAGTTTGAAATAATCAATGTATAAAACATTCCACGATTAAAAAAAATCTGATTATTAATAAGCAAATGATTGGTTTCATTAGTTTAAATACCAAACCTACTTGACAAAAGAAGTACATTGAATATATATAGAACTTGCATGAGTTGGGTCCCCAGACTTAAGGATGATTAGTATAGTAAGAAGACTTGAAGAAAAATAGTAATGATTAGAGACTCAAATCTTTTATTATTATCAAGATAGATAAAGAGAGACAAGGTTGCTCAACCCCACTTGGTGTGTGATGCTTTTCTTGGCAGTGTTCCTTTATGATAACACATCACAAGACTTTAGTGAATCACAGGCCCATGTCACTTTTAAGATAAGATAACATATTCTAGTGTAGTATTATATTCACACTTATATATGTATATAATTAAAGACACCCCCCATGAATTAATTGTAATAATGCAAAAGACTGTGCCATGTAACAGAGACAACCGGTGTGTGCAGAGAGGTCGGTGAGCAGCAATTTGGTTCACTAATAAGTAATAACCATGCCTCCAACTCTCTTCTCTAGGTCCCATTCTCTTTAGTTTTCTTATTATAGTCATCTCTGATCTAATATCTCTTTTTCACCAAAACACCACTTCATATTAAATATGTGAAAATAGACCAGTCTTGTAAATAGAAAGACCATGCACCAATATATCTAGATAACGTTCAAAAATTGCTAGATGAAAATTAGGAATATGTAGACGAATGAACGGTTTTTTTAACTTTAAACTGTTTTTTTTTTTTTTTAAATCGTCCAGGTAAAACGTTTTATTTGTGTCCGATTTGCCATATTAATGTTCCCCAAACCAATTTTTAAAACACACAATTTTTAGAACACTAAAAATAACTATATTTACATCCTATAAAATAGATATAGTGGTTCATAAAAAAAGGAGAAAACAGCTGAAAATAAAGAAAAATACAAAGAGTAAATAATAGTAGTGCTAAATAAATGATTCGAGCGACTCTAAAAAGTTGAATGTTCGAGAGAAGCGTCTCAGAGACTGTGAAAATCAAATCAAAATCCTCTGTTACAGTGCGTGCAACGATTTGGTCCCCTTCCTCTCTCTCTCTCCGTCTTGTGCGTCAATTTGTCTCCTTCTCTCAACTCTCTCTCTCCGTCTCTACATTCTCCAGATTACTACTACTACTCTGCTCTGTTCTCGTCGATTCACACTTTCCATTTGGATTGGTGGTGTCCCTTTAGTGCTTCAAGGATCTCACTTTCTCTTTCCTTTCCTTCAATTGCTACTGCCCTTTTTCCTCAGGTCAGCGTCGATGAGTAGATTTCAAATTACAGATTGCTCTGTTTCTGGTTCTCTGTTTCGATTCAGGGGACATGAAGAAAGATTTGATTTTTTTTTTATATAGCTCAGAGTACACTGTTTTTGAATCGTTCTTCACTGTGATTATTAAACAATTAGTTTAACTAATCATTGGCATTAATTTTATATGAATCTCTGTTCTATTTTTATATTTGATTACTGACAGAGACATCGTTTTTTTCTTTTCTATTTCTTTTTTAGCAATTACAAAGTGAAAAGAGTCTCTGCTTCTGTTTGTTAGAACAACACCATGCCTCTGTTTGAGCTTTTCAGGCTCTCCAAAGCTGCTCAAGACAATAACACTTCTCCGTGAGTTCATTCATTTGTCTCTTTTAATTACTGTCCTGTTTCAAAGCTCATCACTTTCAATGTTTTTTTTTAATATTGATAAAACAGACCCGTAGATGAAGTTGTTGAGCTAGTTTGGGAAAACGGTCAGATTTCAACTCAAAGCAGATCAAGAAACACTCCTCCACAACACTCTGTTCATCAAGGAACCTCTTCTAGACCTAGAGAGATCGGAAACAGCTCAAAGACGCCAATGATGGACGAGATCCCTATGTCAGTACCCTCTCTAATGACGGGTTTGAGTCAAGACGATGACTTTGTCCCATGGCTGAACCATCATCATCACCATCATCAATCTTTAGATGGATATTGCTCTGAGTTCTTGAATGATGTGTCTCCCGTTACTGTCAACGAGCAAGAGGAGGAGAATACGGAGTTGTTTCATAGAACAAACAATGACAATGAATCAGCTCCTGCTGCTTCTTCATCGAAGTATAACGGTTTTCAATCACATTCTCTCTATGGAAGTGAGAGAGCTGGAGATCCTGTTAGCCAAGAACCATTAGTCACAACTAACAAGCCTGGTTTGATCAACTTTTCGCACTTCTTACGCCCCGCTACTTTGGCCAAGAGTCCTAATAATGGATCTAAAGAGAAGAGTCCTCAAAGCCCGGCTAATGTGTTTCAGACCAGAGTTCTTGGAGCTAAAGACTCGGAAGATAAGGTTGTTAACGAGTCTGTTGCTTCTGCTATGCCTAAAGATAACCAAAAGGCTTGTCTAGTTTCAGAAGACTCTGGTAGAAAAGAGCAGGAGAGTGAGAAGGCTGTTGTGTGTTCTTCTGTTGGGTCTGGTAATAGTCTTGATGGTCCATCTGAAAGTCCTTCACTTTCTGTTAAAAGAAAGCATTCGGATGTTCAAGACATTGACTGTCATAGTGAAGTAAGTTATAACTCATTATCACATTTTGAAATCTTGCTTATTCTCTTTGTTGCTTTAGTGTTCTTCTTCGATGTTGTTGAGCAGGATGTTGAAGGAGAATCAGGAGATGGAAGAAAAGAAGCAGCTCCATCTCGAACAGGCACTGGTTCAAAGAGAAGCCGGTCGGCAGAAGTACATAATCTGTCTGAAAGGGTGAGTGAGTGAACCCTCCAAAGTAGGCATACCGTTTCGGTTTATTTGGTCCGGGTATTTTTGATTTCCGTTTATTCGGTTTGGTTACAATCCCACCGAAGTGAACCGAAAAAATTGGTTCGGTTTATCTTGGTTAAAAATTTTATTTCTAAAAAAAGAAACATTTTTTGGGTTTTAAATAGAATTTGGTATATTTTTAAAAAAATACGGATATATTTGGATAAATTTGGTTTGTTCGGTTCAGTTAATTTTGGATAATTTTTTTTTTGAAATCCTAAAACCAAAACTGAACCGATAACCAAATCATTTTTCAAAACCTTACGAACTCAAACTAACCGAACCAAAAAATCAAAAATTTTGGTTCGGTTCAGCTGGTTCGGTTTGGACAAAATCCACAGGCCTACAGCTATAGGGTTTATGGTTCCATTTCTCAACTAACATTGTTCTTGATTTTCAGAGAAGGCGTGATAGGATTAACGAGAAGATGCGTGCTCTTCAAGAACTCATACCAAACTGCAACAAGGTCTCCTTTACATATACTCTACTCACTCGAATATGTATATGAAATGATGAGCAATGCTCTTCAAGATGTTCACTAACGTGAAAGTTTTATAAAAGGTGGACAAAGCTTCGATGCTAGATGAAGCAATCGAGTATCTCAAGTCACTTCAACTTCAAGTACAGGTAACACTCTCTCTACACCCTAAAAAAACTGATAAAGAAAAAGTCACACTTCACTAAATAATCTCAACTTTCAGATCATGTCTATGGCTTCTGGTTACTACATGCCACCGGTTATGTTCCCACCGAGTATGAGCCATTACCCGGCTGCAGCGGCAGCAATGGCAATGGGTATGGGAATGCCTTATGCAATGGGCTTACCTGATATGAGCCGTGGCGGTCCCTCGGTTAACCACGGACCACAGTTTCAGGTCCCAGGGATACAACAAGGGATGACGATGCCACGTGTCTCTGGTGGTGGTTTCTTCGCGGGTTCTTCAACGATGGAGATGAATAAGAGTGGGGATGGTACTAAAGATGAAACGACGAGAAAGGACAATAATAGCTTGAGACCTATTAAGAGAAAACAGGGGTCTTCTGATCAGTTTTGTGGTTCGTCGTGACATAAACACAAACTTAAAGACTGATACATTTATATATTATCAATAGCATTTAAACAAATCATCTCTAAACCCCATAAATAAATAAGATTAAATTATGTGTTCTGCAATAATTAAAGAGCTTTTTGTTGCTTCTGTTCACTATTATTCCTTTTTGTAATTAGAAATACTTCGGATTTAATGTTATCTTAAAATGCAGAATCTGCAGTTGGTAATATTAATATATGTTGGGAATGTCCAATTACTAAATCATGCTACTTACTAGTGCAGAGTTGTAACATGCTACACCAAAATTGAAAAAATAAAATATATATATACATATATATAGCATGAGTTTCACTATAGCTCATGCCTCATGGTTTAACAAAATTTATGGGTTTTCAGCCCATTTCTTTGAAAACCAACTTACAACAAAGAAGTTGTCAACTTCTTCTCTTGTAAATGTTTAACTTTTTTTTTGGTAAGTAAATGTTTATCTTGTTAAGATACTTATATATATAGCAAATACAGAGACGTCTATATAATACAGTCAGCGTAGCAGACTCGTAATAAAATGAACATAAATAACTTTTTCACCTTTGAGTCTGTGACCTATCTTTATCTTTTAAAAGCTTCGGGAAATCAGTACAGTGCGATAACTAGAGTATCTAGCTCTATAGTGGAAAGAGAAGAACAGAAACGGGTTTAGTTTTCGTTAATTTTGTTTGATATCTTCTAATGACTTAGGACAAGCAATAGGAAAAAGACACGTGGAGCACATAAGGGAGACAAATGAAGTAAAAGAGTTGTTGATTGAAGGACCCTTTAGTTGAAAAAGAGAAGGAAATGGTGTTAATGCGGCAAAGCAAAGGAAAAGTTAGACATCATTTGCTTTTGCTATACTAAGAGCATCATTATCGGGGTTGCTAACCCATGTTGCTTAGCCTAATTAGCATTAAAAATAAAATGAAAAATAGAAAAAAGAGGAAGCCACGTTGCTTAATGAAGCGCCACAAGGGGAGTTGCTTCTTGACAGGTGTCGAAAGGAGACTAGGGGAAGGAGAGGTTGTGTTTCGTCGATCTCGGCTTCTCTCTCTCTCGAATTCTTTCTCACAAAATCTTGTCTCTCCCTCTCCCTCGAATCCTCTCCTTGAGGAATCCTTTGGCCTTCTTTATCTCGATTCCTGTCTCGATTCATCCCATCGGTGGCGTGTCTCTCCTCTGCGTCGTCTCCCACGGTGGTTCAGGCCTGTGTTTTATCTCTCCTCGGCGAATCTCTCTCCATCGGTGGCGTGTCTCTCCTCTGCGTCGTCTCCCACGGTGGCTCACGCCTGTGTTCTATCTCTCCTCGGCGAATCTCTCTCCATTCCTCTCGTTGGGGTCACTGATTATTTAAATCAAAAGGTAAAGATACTGTTTTGTTGTTTTGCATGTCTGAGATAATGATTCAACTTGGTCTGATCGGAAGTTTCTTTTGGTTGTTATGTTGATTCTGTCTGTGGGTGTCTATGGTCTCGGGAACGGAGCACTCTCGGTGCTTAGGACAGCATCTCTCTTGGTTCCAGTACTTTGGCGATGGTTTCTCTATCAGGATTCCACCTCAGTTTGTTGACTTCACTGAGCCTGAGGTGCGTGTATCTCTTCTGAATGAGAATTAATGAGTGTAGATTGTGCAAAGGCTACTTGTTTAGTCCTTAAAGTTTTGGACTTTTGTGGTTTCTGGCTGAAAAAAAAACGATTCTTTGTTGAAATTTAGGTTTTATTTTGGTGTATTAGTGAATGAGAACACTTGTTTAGCTGCCAAGTTAGATTTTGAATTGTTTTAGATGTTTGTCATGAGCTTGACATTGATTTAATTTTTGGTGAATGTAGAGATATAAGTTTTTTTCAAACAAAGAACACATGTAGTGACATCTTCTGAAGTTAACCGAAGATTGCTCATGGGACAAAGGAGTACAACCAGAGTACAGGTTTGTTTCTCTCTTCGATCTTGATTGATTTGATCAATATTAATGTAGTGGTAGATTGTGGTTGTGTTAGTTGAATAGAGGGTGATTAATGGTATACTTACTGGTACATTGTGGTTGTGGGTTGGGTAATAAATTCAACTTCTGGTTTGAGTTTTTGTGGTAGAGATACACCAAGTAATTAATGTAATAGGTAAATGTCAAGTCGTTATTGTTTCTTGTTTACGGTTTGNGTTTGAGTTTTTGTGGTAGAGATACACCAAGTAATTAATGTAATAGGTAAATGTCAAGTCGTTATTGTTTCTTGTTTACGGTTTGAGTTATTGTTAAGTACATAGGTGAATATTTGTTTTAAATGCATAATAGTCGAGTTGGTAGGTTGTGTTGAATGCTCTTTTATCACTGCATCTACAAATATCAGTGTTAAACTCTTTGTGAATTAATAAAACTCGAACTCCTCTCCTTTTTCTTCCAACTTCAGAAGTTATATCTCTTTACTTCTCTTTTCTTTGAATTTGGGCAATGGATTTTAATCCTTTTGGGGACAATTCCAAGTTCGTTGATCTACTCAATAATCAGCAAAATGTGGTGTTTGGTAATGTTGCAGATTGTGTAGACACACCTTCATCACAAGACACTCGTGCAAAAGGAAAAGAACGAAGGGTTTGGACAGCAACTGATGACCTTGTGCTCATAAGCTCGTGGTTAAACACGAGCAAAGACCCTGTAGTAGGGAATGAGCAAAAGTCAGCCGCTTTCTGGAGTAGGATTGCTAAGTACTGCTCGGATAGTCCAAAGCTGGTTGGCTGTGAGAAAGCATCAGCAGCTCAGTGTAAGCATCGTTGGCAGAAAATCAATGACACGGTGTGCAAGTTTGTTGGTGCTTATGAAGCTGCATCGAGAGCAAGAACCAGTGGACAAAATGACGCTAATGTACTCGAAGAAGCCCACGCGATCTTCAAGGCTAACCATGGCAAGAAGTTCACACTTAAAAATGCTTGGAAGGAGCTTCGTCATGACCAGAAGTGGTGTGAAGATTCTTTGGCTAAAAAGGATGGAGGCAGTAAAAGAAGAAAGTGTGAGGACGGTTCTTACACGAGAAGCTCTCAAGCTTTTGGCAACGATACTGGTGAAGAGGAGGATCAAGTCACCAAACGTCCCATGGGTGTAAAGGCAGCAAAAGCCCGTGGTAAAAAGACTATGGTAGAGGAGAATGAGATGGAAGAGTTTCATAGCATGTGGAAGATAAAGAAGGAGGATTTGGCATCAAAAGTTTTAGTTTCGAAGTTGAAGCTTCTAGAGAGTCTAGTTGCTAAAAAAGAACTTGATGAGTTTGATAGAGAGTTGAAGAAAAAACTTGCAGCCGAGTTTCTCTAACTTTTAGTTAAGTTTAAATTTCTTCTCTGTTATCTTGTTAAATTTGAATATGTTGTTTCTGTTGTTTTATTCTAATAATGTTTAATTTTCTTCTCTGCAGGAGTTATGTGGTCACGGGTGTTTAACTTGTTGTTCTCTGCTGGAGGTTCTTTTGTTGGAGCAGAGGAGTCACGGGTGGAGGTTGTTTAGTCTCTGGAGGAGTTTAAGTTGTGTCGTGTAGTCTAAGATAATGATTCTCTGCAGGAGTTTCAATTGTGTCGTGTAGTCTACTGTCGTGTCTTGTGTCATGTAGTCTTCTATGTAGGCTTTTGTAATGTGTCTAGTGTCATGTGTCTTGTGTCATGTAGTCTTGTGTGTAGTCTTGTGTCATGTGTCACGGGTCTTTTTAATCATGGAGTCACGGAATTTGTAATAGACAGAGGAGGATTCACGGGTTGAATACTCTTGTGGCTTATATAAAGAATGCATTTGATTGAATACTCACTCTCACAAGTTTCTCATTCTTACAAGTTTCTCATTCTCACAAGTTTCTCATTCTCTATTTAAATACAAGTTTTTCATTCTCTATTAAAACACTTCTTTCATTACATATGGCATCCTCTTCTCAAAACAACATTGATGGATCAGATGATGAAATACTTGATGAACTTTTTGATCAGTATTTTGATCGAAAATTTGATCAAAGATTTCAGAAATTGTCCATTAAATATGCTGAGAGAGAAGAACGTAAAAAAAAAAGAAGAAAACGGGCTTATATCGAAAGAAATCGAGAAGAAGGTCACCATCGTTTATGGAATGATTATTTCAGTGAAACTCCAACGTATCCCGAAAATTTCTTCCGACGACGTTTTAGAATGAACAAATCATTGTTCATGCGCATTGTTGATCGACTATCCAACGAAGTTGAATACTTTCGGGAAAAGCGAGATGCTCTTGGAAGGATTAGTCTCTCTCCCATTCAAAAGTGTACCGCAGCCATTCGTGTCTTGGCCTATGGTTCTGCAGCTGATATGGTCGACGAATATCTCCGGCTGGCGGAATCAACAGCACGGCTTTGTCTTGAATATTTTGTGGAAGGAATAATAGATTTGTTCGGCGATGAGTACTTAAGAAGACCAACCCCGACTGATCTTCAACGTCTACTTGATGTTGGAGAGTATCGTGGATTCCCCGGGATGATAGGAAGCATCGATTGTATGCACTGGGAGTGGAAGAATTGTCCTACAGCTTGGAAAGGGCAATATTGTCGTGGTTCGGGTAAACCAACAATCGTTTTAGAGGCGGTTGCTTCATACGACCTCTGGATATGGCATGCGTTTTTTGGACCTCCAGGTACATTAAATGATATCAACGTTCTTGATCGCTCACCTGTTTTTGATGACATTATAAACGGTAAAGCTCCAAATGTCACTTTTTCTGTCAACGGAAATGTGTACGATATGGCTTACTATCTCACCGATGGTATTTATCCAAAATGGGCAACTTTTATCCAATCTATTCCTTTACCACAACATCCGAAAGCAGTTTTATTTGCTCAACGACAAGAAGCTGTCCGAAAAGATGTCGAGCGTGCTTTTGGAGTCTTGCAAGCTCGCTTTGCGATTGTCAAAAATCCGGCGCTGTTTTGGGATAAAGTCAAAGTTGGAAAGATTATGAGAGCATGTATCATACTCCATAATATGATAGTAGAAAACGAACGAGATCAATACACTCAATATGATCTTTCAGAGTTTCACCAAGGAGGAGACAACGGGAATTCACAAGTCGATCTCACGTTTTCTACAGATATGCCTTCCAATATCGCAAAGAGGATAGGTGTTCGAACAAAAATTCGTGATAGACAAATGCATCAACAACTCAAAGATGATTTGGTTGAACATGTATGGCACAAATTTGGACGTGACGAAGC